CTTCTGCCTTTTAGGACAATATGAAACAAGCCTTTATTCATCTTGAGACCAGATAGGCAAAGACAGCGATCAGGACTCCCACTTCATTTTCTGGCTCTAAACATGCAGCTCATCATCTCCTTATTTATCTGGGACAGGGTTGGTGAGCCTCTTTTCTAACGGGCCAGATGGTAAATATTTTTGACTTTGTGTACCACATGGTCTGTGTCACAGCTTCCCAACTCTTCTGTTATAATGTAGAAACGGACATAGATATGACATAAATTAGTAGATGTAACTGCGTGGCAGTAAAATTTTATCTATGAAGTCTGGTGGCAAGCCAGCTTTGGACCTCAGGCTGTAGTTCTCTACCCGTGTTTAGCCCATGAAGACCCACTAGCACCATTATTCTTGGCTGATATAGCCCTATTCTGAAGCTAAAACCTCCCTCTGTGTCACCCTCCGATCCTTTATACCTTTTATCTGTTTTTCTTATCTTACTGCTTCGTCTATGATTTCCAACACAGTTTAGATCTTCATGGCTCTGCCCTAATCATACTATCTACCCCCAGTAAATCTCTAGCTTAGACATATTAGATTGACCCCACCTCCCCATATTATATAACCTTAGGCCATACATCTCTTGAACTCTCAGTGGGTGGTCTTTTTCTAGTCTCCCTCATAAATACTTCTTTCATGTCCCTGTAAGTAAAATAATAAATCTCATTTTACATCCTTTTGCTTTTCATATCTATTAAGACCATAGTTCACATTTTGGTGCTTCTAATTTTATTTAGACAATATCATAACGCTCACTGTAGCTTTAATTCTAATCTTAGTTGACCCTTTCTTTTAAAGTTAATTCAGGACTACTTTAGAGGGTCTGGGCAGAAATTAGCACTTGATGATTGGCTAACCACTTTTGACATGTATGGCACAGGTGTTTCTCCTAATATTGATAACTCAAGAACGATAGCAATTGGTGGTCACAAGACTGATATTTAAGGAACTGATTCTGATTATAAAATAGAAATGAAACTTAAGCAGACCTGGTGAAGAATATGTATACAATTATCTCATGAGAGGAAATTCAACAAACACCATGCCACCACCACAGCAGAGCCATTGAGCCTTTTCTGTCCTTTCTTGTGACTAATGTAGACTAACAGACCTTTCCTCTTAATTGGCATCTTTGAAAGCATTTCATTCATAACCTTATTTTTATTAAATATTTATTTGTATTATGTATACAATATTCTGTCTGTGTATATGCCTGCAGGCCAGAAGAGGGCTGGTTGTGAGCCACCTTGTGGTTGCTGGGAATTGAACTCAGGACCTTTGGAAGAGCAGACGATGTTCTTAACCACTGAGCCATCTCTCCAGCCTCTCATAACCTTATTTTTGAAGGCGATTTTATTTCTATTTTGTAGGAGAGAAACTCAAACCTGACTGTAAAATATTTATCAGAGATTCAAGACCCTGCGTTTGGCTGCTTTAGTTCAGTTCACATTGCTCTTCTCTGGGATGTACACTGCACTCATCCTTTTGCTAACTCCTACTTGTCTTTAATAATGCAGCTTAATCATCATCATCTCCAGCAAACCCACTGTGGAAATTAATCCCGCCTCACGCCCACCATCTGTTTTAGGTGTTCTTCGTCAGTGTTGACACAGCGCTGTTTGTAACATACCTTGACTGGTAATTTATTAGCTCATGAAGAAATTAAGGGCAAGATGCTTGCCTCATTTAATTTTGCACTCAGTAAACATTTGTTGAAAAATGGAATATTGTGAGATGGAGCCCAGCCTAGGGAGTCAGTTCTCCGTGATGTTTCTCATTCCTGAATACAGCTGGAAGCCAAACAAAGATCATTGCTTTAGTGGGCTGTCTGTAATCTCCAGCCTTCCGAAACAAATCCAAATAAAGAATAGGCTACTCCCAGGAGTCATGTCTTTATAAACACCAGAACCTGAACCCACAAGGTCTGAATGGAGGAGGAAACAGCACAGTTTTTGGTCAGGAAAAATTTCTGGATTCAGACTTTTTAGATTTGAATCCTGTCTCCATCATTCCCATCAGTTGACTTAGCTTTTTTCTAGGCCTTGATTTCTAGTTTCCCAAATACAAAGAGCAGAACTTTCTTGTATTATCTGTTGCTATGTAACCATCAATATACAACAAAATTTATGGTACAAAACAATAAAACTCTGTGGTTAGGAGTCTGGGAGAGGGCTTATGTGGTCGAGGCGCTCTTGTGAGGTTGCAGGTGCTGGCTGCAGCTGCAGTCATTGGAAGCCTTGACTGAGGCCAGAGGGGCCACTCTCAAGATGTGACCATCATCAAGATGTGACCATGTGACAGTCAGGGGCTCTCAGCAGCAGCTGGTCCCTGGCAACGTGACCTCTTCTCAGAAGTCCTCTAGGCTACTTCCGTCATATTCTGTGTGTTAGAAGGAAATCACTAGTGTATCCCACATCCACGAGGAGAATCATATTCTACATTTTGTAAAGAGGAGTATCAAAAGCATTTGTTACTTTAAAAACATTACTTTTATTTTACAAGATTGTGTGAGAATGAACTGAGATATTCATTGCACTGTATTTACCAGAAGACTTAGTACCAAAAATGTTTTCTCTTCTCTCCCACCTAGAATTACTTATCCCTTTCCCACATGAAAAAACAAAAGCAAAACATGGACTAACTATCAGTTGGAAGACTTTGAAAAAACAAAACAAAACAAAGCAAAGACCCTGAATCCAAATTAGTAAGATAACCTATTAAAGTTTTCTTAAATAGAATAGAAATAGAAAGCTGTTTGTGGATACATAGACTTTTTTCATTCTTTTAAAAATTTTGATATTATAATATAATTATAGCATTTCACACTTTCCTTTTCCTCTCTTCAAAACCTCCCATATCACTGCTCTTTGAAATTTATGGCCTCTCTTTTTGTTGTTATTATATGCATATGCATTTATATACATAATATAACCTGCTCAGTCGATACAGTGTTATTTATATGTATGTTTCCATGACTGAGCATTTGGTATTGGATAACCAATTGGAAGACTATTTCTCCTGCCCTCAGAGTTATAGCTCTTAGTGTAAGGTTGAGACCTCATGGGCTTCTCTCTACCTGCTTTGGTATGTCTATTGTTGTTCTTGATCAACTCATGTTTAGGCAATGATGTTGGTAGGTTTCCTTGGGAAAGAGTGACATCTGAGTGACAAGGAGCAGAGACAGCACAGCTGGTGCTGGCAGTGGGTAGTGGTGACCTCTGAAGAGTTGCCTCAGGAGGAGAGGCTGCATCTGGGAAGAAAAGATCCAATTGTGATGGGTACCCTCTGGTCCCAACATGCCTGAAAGAGCCTTGCTGACAGCACCTTCCACATCACAGAGAAGTTTCTTTGTCTCTTTGTTTGTAGGGTTTCACATAAGTGCTGGCTGTCTACCCCATAGTACAATATGTAATATAACGAAGATGTTCAATAATTTGATTGAAGGGGGAAAAAGACTGTGCCATTAAACTAGCTAAACCTCTTAAAATATTACACCTTCATAAGTCAATCTTTTATGTCTACCTAATTAAACTGAACAATTTCTTACTCAAGTGAAACCAAAAGGATGTTTCTTTAAATGTGAGGGGGCGGGGACTAGGACTGGCAATTAAAGATGCATTCTGGAATGTCTAAACCCACTGTTAGTTCCCTTTGGTTGCATCTCTTCTTTGTTTACTGTTTGGTTTTATAATAGGTGTTTAAAATTAACTGAATTTTAAATGACTTTAATTTCAATGCTTTTCCGCCCCTAAATGATTGTTTTAGGATTCAGAGTGTACATCTTTAGTCTACCATTAGGTAACCATCTAATGATTCATGTAGAAATAACCTGAGAGCATTACTGTTCCAGGTCCCTTCTCTTGACCTCTACTGTCTAGACAGTTCACTTCTGCATTTATTAGAAATCTCACAACACACAATTACTATGTTGCTTAAATGGTCAATTATCTTCCTAAGTGATTTTTTTAAAAATGAAAAAAAAAATCATGTACCCATTTAATAAGTTTAGGCTATTTGCCCCTCTTAAAAATGATTCATGTATTTTTATATTTTGTGCATTAGTGTTTTATCTGCATTTATGCATGTATGCGGGTGTCAGATCACTTTGAATTAGATTGCAGACAGTTGGGAGTTGCCGTGTGGGTGCTGCAGATGAACCTGGGTCTTCTGGAAGAGCAGCTGGTGTTCCCAACTGCTGAATCATCTCTCCAGCCCCTCTTTGACCCTTTAGATAGACCTGTCTAGAATTTTCCTTCTGCACAGGGTCTTCCTTTGTCACTTTCTACAGTTCAATGCTGCTACTTGATGAGGCCTTCCGGCTCTGCATGTCTGAAAAAGGTCTACTTCATTTTCATTTGTAGAGAACATTTGCTGGGTATAGAATTCTGCTTAACAGTGTCTCTTCTTACTCTACTCTTTGCTTGCTTGCACTGTTTCTGATGAGAAGTCTATTGTCTTATCTTTGCAGTTCTTGTCTTATCACCGTAGCTCCTTTGGCCTTCCTGAAGTGGCAGCTTTTCCTCGTCTGTCTAGACAGACTATTGGATTCTACCTGGGTCTAGAGACTCTCTAAGAGTGAGCTCAGCTATTTACACTGCACTCACTTAATTTTTCTCTTGATTCAGATATCAATATTCTGCTTGGACTATTCACTGTGTGAAAATCACTATCTTTTTATTTTTTTATTTTTTATTTTTTTTTGCTTAGACTTTATTTAAAGCACCAGGATAAATTTGATTCTTCATACTCTTTCTGTTTTTGTTTTGTTTTGCTTTTTCTGGAAGCAGAGGTTCAAAATTGTCAAGCCAAAATGACAAATGCTTAACATATTAAAACTAACTTTTGATTGTAAAGCTCTTTCCTCAGAATTGACCTATATCTTCCACTAAGTAAAAATTATTAACTCGCTTTAAAAATCTATTTAATGTCATAAATATTTGATGTTATTTCTTTTCTTATAGGGAGCAGAAAGCACTCAAGCTGGATTTTTAAGTCATTGCACATTAACAATAAACCACAAGTCGCAAAATGTGATCCTGAGTAAAATGCTTCTGAAAAATTAGCTTCAAGCAACAGAGGAAAGAAAACTGGCGGGCCGTTTTAAAACACTGGTCTAAAACAAACTGTTCTTGTTGGAAATTACAACTGGAAAGTTTTGCCTGGCTCTCAATATACCCAAATGAAAGGCACTGTCAACTTGTTTCTCATAGAGACCAGGATTATGTGAGATTACCTGTTATCTTAACATGATCAGCAGGGGAGGGAACACAGAAGAGTAACTGAAGGACACAGGTCAAGATGACTTCTGAAGAAATGGCCGCTTCCGTTCTCATCCCTGTGACTCAGAGGACAGTGGCTTCTGCCCAGTCGGCAGTGGGAGAGGACAAGAGTAAACTGGTCTCAGATGCTGCTGTTTCAAAGGTACGCGCTGGCAGGCGCAGTGGCCAGATCCCTCAGACCCTCTCACAGTGGAACAAACCTGAGGCAGAGCCTCAGAGAAGCGGTTTGTCCCAGATCCTCTCAGTAGCAACGGGAGGACTAATGAGTGATGAGAACCACAATGAACAGTGCTGGGAGCAAAACCTGCCAGATTCTGTGAGAAACCACTCCGTTAACTGCAACAGCTTAGTGCAAAGTCACCTGTGTGACCCTCCTCAGAACCCGCTTCGTGGAGCCTGTGACCCTGTCGCAGAAGAGGGCCTGTGCTTGCAAACTGGAATTTCTTCTCCACTGGAAAGGGAGCCATTCCCTGGAATTCAACTGGAAATGGGTGATCCTCCCATGGATGTGAGCCCTTTGGGAAACGAGCCTGGAATCACAGAGACCAGCGGACCTCAGCCTGACAGCAACATGGCAGTCTTTCATTTCCGTTATGAAGCTGACAGAGCAATGTCCGACGCTTTCCATACGCTGTCAGAAAAATTAATTTTGGATGACTGTGCAAACTACGTTGCTCTTCCTGGGGGGCAGCAGAAGAAACATTACGAGGCGTATACTTGTAAGCTAGTGGAACTGACCAAAGACTGTGGCAATAAGAACGGGCAGCTGCAGTGTGAACATTGCAGCTTGCTGCACAGCAAATACCTACGCTTTGAAAGCTCCTGTCCACAGGGTGACGTGGACTGCTCAGGGGCTGAATTTTGCAGGGAGGGTTTTACTCACAATCCACCTGCCAAGACTTTCCTGAGCCCTTTGGAGGATTTCTCTGACAGTTGTGAAGACATAGACGATTTTTTGAAAAGCAAAAAGGAGCGGTCCACTTTGCTGGTGAGAAGGTTTTGTAAAAACGACAGGGAAGTAAAGAAGTCAGTGTATACCGGCACTAGAGCGATAGTGAGAACCCTGCCTTCTGGCCACATTGGGCCAGCTGCTTGGAGCCACGTGGATCGGAAGAGAGCGAGGCTCTTAGGGCCTTGTGGGGATGGAATGGAACCTCTGTCAGCAATGGATGTAAGGCCACGTGGGAGCCTACATCTGTCTGAAGCCCAATGGTGTCTGGTAAGAGTCTGTGTTTCTTCCATCACTTTGGTTTGTTTTACTTTTCCTCCCTTCCTTCATTCCCCTTTTAGGAGTTTTTATATAGGTCTTACTACATTAGGCCCTCCATAAGCCTGGAGCTTGCTAAGACTATGGCCTAGCGTGACGCTCCTGACAACTTCCTGAATTACAGGTGGATACCCCTGTTTTCTTTCCATGATTTCATTAAACTTGCTTATTCTTTTTAGAAATCTGAATTTCTATTGCTTTAATTAAAAGATAAAATAATAATAAGATAATTTAATTATCTTTTAATTAAAATTAAGATCTGTGGAATTATGATTCTCACAGGGATCATTTGTAGTTGTTGAGAAACAGATACTCCAATCGATAGGTCTAAGGTCTAAGTTGACTCTGCAGGCCACAAAACACGCACAGGCCTATGTAGGGCTTGGAGAAGTTAGATTGTCTGTCATCGGCTTTGGAGATGCATTCTCAAGTCTTTTTCATGACCCACTGTGGCCGTTAGCTTTACAGGCCTGAAGGAGTTTAAGTCTTGAAGCTTCCATTTTATGGCCAAAGGTCTTTCCTATCTTCTCTCTTAAACTTTGTGTGTGTGTGAGTGCCTGCCATTACCCTGTCAATGAAGACACTGTGGTTAAAACAATACTTTAAATGCACCAAATGAAACAGAAAGCATCAGTAATGAAGAAAATTATGTTGGCTTACACTTGTGGGACACGAAATGGTTTTGAAATTGGGAGATGACAGTTTAAATGCATCTTTATTGCCACATGGACCCTCATTACCTAGGATTGTGATAGCTAACTGAGTTTCCAAGCAGTAAGGAATGCAAGTAGAGTGACTTGCTTGGGACTTTCTTAATTTTGACCTTGTAAACCTCATGTCACAGGAGATCCCTTTAATCTGGGCAAACGGAGACAATGGATCACTCTAAATAGCCATAATATCATAAGATGTCCACCACAACCATGATATGATGTGAAATGTGTTATTTTTATTGGTGGCAAGATCATTCACTTCTTGTAGATGCTCATAATTAAAGAAATGCTAAAATTACATGTAAGATTACTGAGAATATTCATTTTTGATTCCAAGTTCCAGAGCCTCCAAGAATCTTGGTTTTCCTTTTTAACCATAAACAAGCAGGCGACTTGCTCTGAGCCCGATCTGCACTGGTGAAGATAGAACCATATACTTCGCCTATTTCTTGCTTGGGAACATTCGGGATCTTGTCTGACAAAAGGAAGCCTTTCTATGTTTGTGGTCCATTCACCACAATCAGAGTGTGGGTTCTTTTCTACATCTCTTGCCCTGATCCCACACGAAAGCTGTGTCAAAGCAAGACACTCCATACAGAGTGGCCTGTCCTGCCCTGCACACTGAAGTCTTGCCCCTCGGCTCTCCTCCATGAGGCTGCTGCTGAGGGCAGCATGCCACCCCATTTGAAAGGAGATAGCTTTCTAAAATCACGCACCCTTGAGAGCACATTAGAAGTTTCCGGATAGCAAATGAATACAAATGCATTGCTGTTATAGCTTCCGAAGGACGCTTGTGTTGGGCGTGAGTTTTAGAATGGTTAGCAGAGTGACTGGGCTTCCTTCCGGCTCTCTGCATCCCGAAGCTGTTGGGCAATAGCTAAACACCTTCACGTGTCAGGCTGCTTAGTTTACAGCGAGAAGAGCTGATGGGATGAGACAAACTGTCTCCTCCCCGCTCAACCTCTGGAGGCTCAGAGAGGTCTCCATCACTCTGTTAGAGTGGGCCTCAGAAACTGCTCTTCCCTTTGTCTCAGATGTCTTTTGGAGACTACAGGCTTTTTTTTTCTTTCTTTCTTTCTTTTTTTTTTTTTTTAACTGCCATGTATGGTATGTCTGGGTGTGGGCTGGCTGTCCTGTCCTTTAGAGGGAGAATTCAAGATGCATGCCGCGCTGTGTCAGAAAGTTACTGGTCTTTAAGCTATAGCCTTCTCTTCAGCTTGCTCTTTAGAGTCTGGCAGAAATGCTTCGCAGTTTGGCACAGCTGAATTATGTCCACTTGCCTCAGGTCTTGTGAGTTACTCCCTTCATCTGAAAGTGCGATACCCCCGCGGTACACTCCCTTACAATTTTCTGACGATTCCAAGGGTATCCTTCCTGTTTGCTCAGTCAAGTTGTAAACTTAGGAAGGGCAGAGACAGAGTCCTGATACTTTTTCCCTCTATATAATAACAAATGCATGTTGCCGGATGCAGAGAGAACAAGGACAGCTACACGGTTGGAAACAGACTCTGGAGCCGACCCAAATTTAAATGATGGCTTCAGATCCCAGAGTGACTGACAGGCAATCTCTTTGTTCCTAATTACCTTTCATGTAAACCAGGCATAAAGGTGGCATTGTGGGCCCCTGTACAGTGAGATGCTGACCTTCACAGTGCTGAAAGCCCTGAGTGCTCTTGTCCTCCCGACCTTCAATTTTCTGCTTGTTGGTGGACTCATTCCCACCCCGTCATGCTCTTTGGTAGCCTTACAGGGACATTGACACCAGGATAGTTTCTAATGTCCAGTTTGCGCTCCACATCTGCAGACTTTGCCTTCATGAGCTCCTTTAGATGCAGACTGAAAGGATCTGAAACATTCTACTAGGACTGTCGTTGAGTGATAGAGTGCTTGCTGTCACATATAAAGCCTTGAGTTTAAACTCCGGTAGCCACCTACTCTATCCCACCCACAACATTTAGCCAGGTCTGATGGCAACTGCTCAGGAGCCTGAGGCAGGAATATTGCAAGTTCAAGGCCACTTAGTGAGACTTTGTGTCAAAATAAATGCAAAAAAGCCTGAATATAGTTCAGGGGTGGTGTTTTTTTGGGGGGGGGCTAGCCTATGTGAGGCCGTAGGTCCAATTCCAAGTAACACACACACACACACACACACACCTGTTAAAGGCATTTACAGCTAACTGGTTTTTATTGTCATTATTCTGCACACAACATAGCACAACAATTCAGTATGTATGCGATGATGGATAGGTAGCTTGCAAATATTATACAATTTTATATAAGGAACTTGAATATCTGCAGTTTTGAGTTTCCATGCGGTCCAACGAACAACTGTATTGTCTTAGCCTATAGCGTGACCCCCCAGTCCTTCCTATGCATTGCAGCCATGTGTTACCCATCTAGTTAGTTCTTTGGCATAACATCTTGACTTTTTTTCCCCTGGGCGTGTTGATCAGAAGAATCCAGTGACTTTATATTTTCACAGCTGTGTAGAGAGAATAGGTTTGGATGAAGACATTAATAAGGATTCACGCTTGCTGACTAACCAGATTGTTAGTCTCCTCCTGCGTGGAAAACATCAAAGTACCCCCCCCATCCAGCCCTTGTGTACTCCCTCCTGCTCTAACGCTGTTGGCTCAGCAAAGTGGAGTCTTTGGCAAATGGCTAAAGTCTGCAGGGTAAAGATTTCACTAGGAGTGTTTATCTTTAGAAAAAAAAAAATCTCTTCCTGTCTGATCTTGGGAGTTCAAAGCCTAGAGTTATCTTATAGATAGATTCAAGCTCAGAAAGTGCCAGCTTTTGTCTTGACAAACTTAACTGTGTAACCCTAGCCATGTGTAACTCAGTAGCCATGGAAGGGGCCCTGGGTGGCCAAGGCAGAAAAGTCACCAGGTCCTGTACTAGGATTTCCCATCTTTGATTCTTTGGAGAATTCACTCCACGTGAATGTGTATATACGGCAAAGCAGAGAAGATTCATGTTGAATTTTTAAAGGAACAGGAGATAATTTAAGAAGATTTTTATAAAGGAATAAAACTCACTTTTAAAAAATCTTATTAGCAAAACTGTAAATAGAAAATATGGACACAACCAGCTTCTGTGACTGCCCCACCTCTTTCTAAAATGCTGACTCTTTACTGCTCAGCTCAGAATATTAAACTTAAGAGGTAATGATGAGTTGAGCAGTAATACCTTTATTGAGACAAATGTGCTTGAAGGAGGAGGGAGGGAGAGAAAAGAAGAAGAAGGAGAGGAAGAAGAGGAGGAGGAGGAGGAGGAGGAAGGAGAGGACGAAGAGAAGGAAGAAGAAGAAGAAGAAGAAGAAGAAGAAGAAGAAGAAGAAGAAGA